CAGCTCTGATGTCTAGCACAGAGCCACCTGCCTCAGTGGGACTACATCAAGTTTGAGATGTCTACAAGCATTCAAGCAGTACAAGTTGGACAGAAGTGAATCTGATGAGGGGGTGGGGGTGGAAATCTAACAAACAAAAGGTCAGATCAGATCACATTAGGAATGAGCTCAACGAGGCGGGCAATATTAAACAGCCGAGTAGGAATCAGCCTTCTGGTGTGTACTTTGTCTCCCCCTGCCTTTCTGCCCTCTTCACTTCTTCCAGCTGCTCAGCAAATCGAAGCCATGACTGGTGCAGTATCTTCCAACCACCAGAGTTACTCTGGTCATGATGCCCACCCTTTGGAGCTGGGACAGGGATTTCCCACCTGGAATTGCTCAGGGCTGCATTCAGTAACCAGTCACTTGTGTTATAATGGCACCTATCCAGCTCTAGCTAAACCCTACACTCATCCTAGCTGCCACACAGATGTCTGGAGATGGTTTATACCAATTAAACCTCTCCAGCCTCATCCACCTCCAAAAAAGTCGGCTTCAATAGATAATGCAAATAGAAACTGGTAGAAAGGAAGTGCTACCTGTACTGTCATTAGACAGCCTCTGATGCTGTCTTTCTGTCTCCTGTTGCCTATCAGCAGCCCTTGGGCTCAAGGCTCTGGGCCTTTTGTCCTTGCTTTGGCACACTCAACATGTGGGATTCATCACCCTCCTAAGGGTAGCATCTGCTTTTAGCTATGCAGGAATTCTATAAACCATTGTTATCATTGCTCCAAGAGAGGAGAGCTATCGGCATGAATCACAGGGATGAACTGAAAGAAGACTTTTCAGGATTAATAGGTCTGAAATGTTTCTGACAGATCAGTTAAAAGATGCATTAAGGCAGAGTATAACTCTCATCTAGCCCAAGAATTTCTTTTCTTTCCTTGACTTCTACCCATTGGAGCAAATCCAGAGCCACTAAGTCAGCTTGTTGACACACCAGGGCAGGAGTAACTGAAAAACACTAGTAAAAATACATCATAAAAGCTCTGCAATAAAATTCTCTATCTTAACTCAAGATCACTGATATTTACAACAGTCATTCTTCATCATTGTTTCATAGAGTTGCTCAGTATTCCAGGGAGCCAGGAACCACAGACATTTTATTCTTATTCAAGATACAAGTGCATCTCTATGGCCATTAACTTGGAGAACTATAGCCAGGGAACAAAAATCGGCTCTACCTTCCACTAAACGAAAATAACCAAGATAACTGTAGTAATAGTGACAGTGCTATTGAAATGCTAGTATTATAACAAGAACAATTGCCTTTCCACTTAGTTATGATACAGTTCAGGAGAGAATTTAAGTGATGAGAGGGGTATTAATAAAGGGCAGTTTCTGTATCAAAGCCCCCAGACTGCCTTCCTAGGAGCAGGGAGAGACCCCAAATTACCTTGACTAAGATTGTTGTGTGCCTCCTCTGCTATCAGCAGGTGCTCATACACAGCCAAGACTGCAGCATTTCATTTGCCTTCACTCAAACAATACAGTCAAGCTTGAGATGGTCAAGCTGTCGATGCTTCATCTCCCCTAAATAAGACCACTTATCCTATGCAGCAAGTTTACTTTTATGTCATTATGGAATCCCTGGACACTTACAAGTATGAAGACTGCATTGACTAATGCTTCAGCCAATATTCTGTGTATAGAGTTCAAAGTTAACTGCATGACTGATTCATGCTGAAGGAGGACAGCCTATTATCCATCCTGGGAATAAGTGTAGGTGCTGCATAAACACACTTAGCTGCCAAATACAAACTGGATTATGGTTTTATTCTTATATAAATAAAACCAACTCTCTCCCATAATGGTAAACAGGAACAATATTTAAAGGACCTAAAGTAGGTGATGAGCAGTCTCAACCATTTTACAAAAGCAAATGTAATAATAGAAGAAGAGAGGGGTCTTATAAAAATATTATAATGAAAATGGCATTCAGAAATCCATTAGCAAGTGACTGTGCTTCATCACAGCACTAGGAAAGTATTTTAAATGTAAGCAAAGATCTTTGCTTTTAAAATCCTTAATGAAGATGTAAAGTACTAAAAGCCACTGGGAAGTCTTAAAAATGAAAACAAGACCTTGTAACAAAGCTAACACCTTGGTTCATAATGGATTACAAGTCAATACTGTTGTTCTTGCCTACATTACTGCAGATGAACATTATCTGAGTGAATGATACTATAAAACTCACCTACATTTCTTTCCTTGGCCTCCTTATTTCTAGTAAAATTTGCTTCATTTATTGATCTCTTATGGGTACCATAGCAATGGATGAAACAGGACCATTTAAACTGCTTTTATTAAGATAAACAAAATGCATACTCAGTGTTCTCAGTGAATACTCAGAACACTAAGAACACAAAATAGGCACTGAAAAAAATGTAAAGAGTACTTGCAGAGGATTGGCTTTTGAAACCTAGATAGTCTGCACTTTTGGCAGGAAATGCAGTGTTAATTTCTAGAGGCAAAACCCAAACCATTTTGCAAGAGAAAGTTGGGGCTTACTAGGTGCAGAAACTCCCACTGGGGCAAAGGGATCCTGTATCCTATAGCAACATCAGAAGTTTAGGTGGTGAAGGCACTGCCACTTAAATACTTCAAATCTTGCAGCAAGAGGAAGCTTTTTCCCCAGTGACTTACAATTCAGACAAAACCTGTGATTTTTGGTATGGTTGCTTTTTTTTTTTTGACAACTGCTCACTTTCTGTCATTTTGTTGTCAAGTATGGCTATATCGGGGTGTGTTGTGCAACCACTGGAGCTCTGAGGCATGCAAAGGGCAGTTTATAACAGCAGAGCTTCACTTTGAACAACTCATTCAGTAGCACATTGTTTACTCTGTCACAATAAGGAAAAGAAAATTCCCTGGAAGTTTACAATTACAGGAAGAATAGCTTCAGAGGAAGTGGTATCTGAGAAAGGAGGGACCCACATTTTTAAAAGCATGCATCATTTACTTCCAGGTTTGTGTTGCATTTGAGTCTATTTATTTACTGATGCAAGGACACTATCTCAGATTCTCTGGACTACTTGCAGGTATGCTCAGGCTGCAGTATATTGCACCACTAGGCAAATTAGAACAACAGTCATACAAACAGCAACCAAAAATTAATGACATCGTTAAACCTGAGCCACAGGACATTTACAATAGCAAATAAAATCCCTGAAAATAATCAGCTCTAGAAGAGCCTACATGGTCTTACCTTTGGCTGTCATTCCATCAGAAGTCTGATATACCTCTGGCCTCCCAGGTCACTTTCTGATACAAGCAGCATCTGTTCTTATTTTGCACTTTGAGTAGGTATGCAAGTAGTTCAGCCTCCTTGCACTTGTTTGCAGTGCAGAAAAGGTTAATATCCAGCCCAAATTAATGTTTTTGAGCTCCAAATTATCTTAGATACAACTAGGTACACATTTCTGAGGTGAGAGAAGCCAATGTAAGAGCACACAGCTGCAGAAAGGATAAGTAATTTTCTTCCTTATTCTTGAAGAAAAAGAAAAGCCAAAGTCTCAAGTGTAACAAAGTTGATGAATTGTGGCATTAAAGAAGTGGATCTTGCACATGAATACAAGAGATTGCAGCAGGCATTCAATGTTAGGTAGCTACTGTTTATGCACTTCACAACTTAACAAATAGCAAAACAATGTATAGGCACTGACTTCGTAAGTTAGCATAATGATTTCATACACCATAGCTATTATAAAGCAATGCACCATTTGCTTTGTTTTCTGTCAATGTCCAGCAGTAACTGGTCAGTTATTGATCTCTTTCTGCACAGGAGGAAAGTTAACAGAAATCTTACCTGGGAGTCAGGCATATGACTCATTTTTAAATGGTTGGTAAAAAGTCCTCAAGTGAGCTATGTAAGCCTCACGAATGTTAGCGTGTTGCATTTCTTTAGAGATATGAATTAGTTCAGTTAATTTTTGCCATTCGAAGTTTACTGCACCATTTACCACACCACGTTACTTTAACAGCTCAGATTCTGAAGTCAGGATAGGCAGAAAATTCCTTTTTTTCCCCTCAAGACAAAGCTCTTTATACATAGACACTCTGACCTGATCCTCTACTGCACAGGGAGCCTGAGCTAAAAGACAACATCCAGGATGCCCTTTTCAGCCCTATGCATCATCTCACACCATGCCTTTCATACACTTATTAAGCTTCCTTTTAGGACCAGGTAAGTGCTGCTTGTTCTTACCCTGATTACAAGGCTGCACAGATGCTAAGCCAGTGGTTAGAAGGTATCTAACTAGCTATTCATTGTACCAACCTCACCTTGTAGCTTAAGCAGCTTTTTTCCCTTGAGGCTCCTTTCCATGCATACATGCGAAGAGCAGTAGTTTCCCCTTTCCCATTCTCATTTTGATAGGATGAGCAAACAAAGCTTTTAGTCTCTCTGAATCATAGGCTCCCTGTTCACCAAGCATCTTTTTAGCCCTCTGCTTACTTGTCACACTCCCCTACTCCTCCTTCACAGCACACAATCAGTTCCTTCCTTAGCAGGAAAACACAGCTTAAGTACACTTCCTTCCATTCACTCTACATAGGCACCATGACCAGCAAGTGCCTGGCAGGAGGTGCCCTAAGCTTGACTCAAATACTTGGGTGTAAACACCTCTGTGCTATTAGGGTCACGGTGGCATGAAGTACAGGCCCTCTCTTTTACCTTCATACTTAGTTTCCAGAAAGGTACTGCTTGCTTAGGACCTCTGCTCAGGGGAAAGAGGCCTTCCAGTTCTCCACATCTGGGGCCTCACTACAATCCTTTCCAGAGCCCACTCTCCAGATGCCATGCAGTTTAATTCTGCAAGGATTCACAGCAGTCAGTAGTAGAAAGTTTGCATTTTTTATACAAAACAGCTTATTTAAGATAAACTGCAATGTATAAAAGACTAAGGAGCCATAAACAATCCCAGTAGTTAAGATAAAAATTAAGACCAAAATACACCTACCAGTGACACAAAGGGATACAGAAATCAGCCAAAAACACAGGACACCAACCAGGGAGATGCTCAAACCAAGCTGAGACAAACCAAATGAAAATAGGCCCCTCTGTGGGGCTGCTTTAAATACAGTCATGGCACTCAGCAGAGTAACCACAGGTGTAGCTAGGAGCCAAGGAAAGATCTTGCTTCCCCATAATTGCCAGGTGGCCTCTGGTGAGACAGATTAGGTTCCAGCCCAGGTGCCTGATGCTCATCAGCTCAAGCAGGTGACCACCTGAGATCAGCGTGGCCCTGACAGCTTTCAGAGCCCCGCTTCTAGAGCACCCTATCTGCCTTTTCCCTTGAACTCTCTACTTCACACTACTTGCTTTTTTTTTTTTTTTTTTTTTTTTTTGTTTGTTTGTTTGTTTGTTTGTTTGTTTCATTCTCCTCACAAACTGAACAGGGCAGTGTTTTGGGGGTATACAGTTACTCACTTTTCTAAGACAGTTCAGTCAGTTGTTGATGGCTTCTAATGATTGCCGCTGATGAATTTGTTACAGAGTCTGTATCTATACTGATAAACAAAAGAGGTCCAGGGGGATATCAGCATCCTCAAGGACAAGGGACTCAGACTTGCTTAGGGCCCATTCCCTCTTGATAGGCTGACTTGGCACCTCACTGGGGGTGGCTCTGGGCACCTCCTAGGCATGAGTAAAGAGACTCAAGAAGGCTAACACCGTGTGTGTGTGTGCAGCTGTATGCAGTGTGGGCTTATGCACCACATGGTTGTCTCTGATGCATTGGATGGTTTCAGTTATACCCTTCAAAACCCAGGCCTGATCTTTTCCACATCCTTTTTCTTTTAATTTGCAGAGATCCTTTGATGGTGGCAGAGAGAATTCACAGTTCCAAAGCATCCTCATTTGTGTGTGTTACTGCTTTTCCCATCATACTGTCTACTCCTGCAGGCACTGGTGAAACCAGAGGTGTGTTTGTTCTCACTCCACAGTACAAGGGAACGAGGCTTTCTACATAAAATTCTGGGGCCAAAAGACTTGCTAGCTACTGCCAGCCTAGGAAGGCACATGATATCAGCAGAGCCATTCTGGCTGCTGAAGCTCTAGTCAGGTATTACCGGGTCAGCAAGGAATTTGATGTAGCACCCTTGATGGACCTTTCATATTTTTTACTCTTTTTTATTTTTTCTGTGAGGAAATAAAGCTTTAAAACTGCTAAAATATTGTCGGACTTGTCTTATTGTGTGTAATTTTGAAGCATTTGTTCCAGGCACACTACAATTTTTGCCATTTAGTGATTACCTTTATCTGCGAAGCCTTTTCTCATGTGCCCTTGTGTAGCGCTTTGGGAGATTGTCTGATGTGAAAGGCACTATTACACATTGAACTGATTATTGTTGTTTGTTGCTGTTAACACAGACAAGAAACCCTCCTGGCAGGGAAACAACTTCTTTGCTAATAAGTATTCATAATTTGTATCTCAGCAAAAGATGTAAACATATATTATCATTAAATAGGCTGTAATTTTAATTGCCTATAAATGTTATTAATTCTGATTGTGATTATTCAATAGGTAATAAAGATAAAGGCTGTCAAAATTAATTAAGTACATATTCATTAAATTCAAGGTAGCTTCAGTTTCTTTATTGCACAAATACAATTAACACTTAATCTGAATCTCAGTAAGTTACATAATCATGTGACTCAAAATAAAGGGAGGATACAACCTTGGCCTTTTACTTTTTACATGGGAAAACATTAATGATGCTGACATTGGAGACAATTAGACAGTGTCGGCCAATTGTTTTTAGTCAGCTTTCTCTCACATCTGTGGTGTCTACAAGCAAGAAGGGCCATTGTTTCTGCAGGCCTCCGTCGCGCTTTGGCTCTTTGTGCTAACCGTCAATCTCTTGCTGAATATCAAAGCTGTGAGGAAATTAGAACAGACCAGCTCTACTGCACCACACTAAAGCTTAGCAGGGTGCATCCACTATGCTACTAATTAGGCAGTGGCCAACAAAATAACCTGTCAATGTGTGCTTGCCATTTCCCACACACCTGCATTTCATACACTAATAAGCGTACAGCCAGGGAGAGAAAGGGATAACTGCTGAAGTGTGAAAAATGAACAAAATATAACAATGTTTCTCTCCCCACCTATACTACTGCCAATTACCATTTAACATTAGGTAGAATCAACATGTCGGAAGAAATACAATACAGTATCTGAAACTAAAGAGGGGGTAGGACGGGGCAAAGCCACACATAGAGTGTATTAATGTTTGCTGCAGAACGCCACACTAAGTGGAATCTCTCATTATTTGTATGAACTGGGAGGTTGAAAATGATCGTGATTAGGGTTTTTCTATTCACGTCAACCAAGGGAGAAATCCATATTTTAGCTACATACCAAAAATGAGTGAATAAACACTGTAATGAATGACGTCCAGTGCTCCACTAACAGACCCCATCCTTCACATACATCAGTTCAGCTAAGCCAATACAGACTGGGCTCTTAGTCTCTGTCTTATTTGCTTTCATTCAGTTTCACAGAAACTTGTATGTGCCATCCTTCCAGAGGAATCATATCAGTCAGGATATTGGTACCAGGTTGCCTGGAGGACTTGCTGCATTCATGCTATTATTTCTTGTCATGAGTCTTTTTCCTACCAAACACATGGTTAAAAAAACTTCTAGAAATGACTTTTCATTCCAAGAGATAAAAATATGCGAAACTGCACTGTTATTACTATTATGAAAGGGGGAGGAGGGATGTTTATGTGGTGATTACAAATATTGTATTCGAAAAAGACTCATCCTCAAAATACAGAAATCAGTCTCATTACAATCTTTATAACATAGTATCGCTTAGAATTCACAAAACTCCCACTTACAAGCCTTTGTAAATTACTGGGTTTCGTACAATAGTAATTCACACACCATATATTTCTTTCCCTTTCCCTTGCTTTAATGCCTGATCAGATTGCAAGAGTGATGATTTAGAAGTGATAGGCACTGAAAACAAAGCAGGGCACGAGTACAGATATTAAGTCAGGTGCAAAATACCCCGGGCCAAGATGCAAAGTCCATTACCTCTACTGAGGATCTGGCTTGGCTTAATTCAACAGTTTGGATGTGGAGCCCTTTATTTTTTCCCCCTTTGCACAAACCCGAGGAGTGTAAATGCAAATTTACTTGTGTAAAACACAGCGATTCCCTTGTAGGTCTCCCTCCCCCTCCATCCCAAAGCACGTACTTAAATTCATTCTTTTTTCCCTGTAGGCTTGAGCTTTGGTGGATCAGGTGTATGAATGGCAGAATTCCCTCCAGAAAGCACCAAAATTTATGTATGCGTATGACTCCTGAGCAGCCATCCTTTAATGTATAGCTGAATTTAAAACAAGAAATGAAAACCAGAAGGGCCGATGCAACGTGCGGATGAAGCTGTTTTCCTCTACAAGAAAAATCACTCCATCTCAATATGTAGGAGAAATGACTATATTGTTACGCTATCCTTGATGGAAATTATACAATAAAGGCCAATATTCAAATGGTATTTGTTAGATACTTTTGAACACCACTCTGCCTTTCATTAGACTTTATCCAGGAGCAGCATTTTCAATTATAAATAAAAACTTTCTCCGCCTCTTCCCACTTGAGCTCAAGTACAGAAGGCCCCTATTTAAAATGCAGCTCCCGAGCAGGCCACCAGGCCGCCTGTTCAGCTGCCAGTGGCTTTTGTGTACAAAGATGTTAATTGGTCCTAATCCCCTCCTAGAAGCTGTTTTGGTAGCCTGACCTGGCACCCCAAAGGACACCTTGGTGTGAAAAACTAAAGGGCCCATTCAAAAGAGAGTGAAAAGCGGCACTGAGCATTCCAACACATTTTAATTTCAGGAATTAAGAAAAGGGAGGGTGTAGCCGGAGGGTTGTGGCAAGGGGGGGGACGGCACACATCATCCTCCTGGTTCAGAGCTGGCCGTACAAAGCTGTGGCAGTGGTGAAGCAAGCTCTGCAAACGCCCCTTCCACACAAAAAGCCGCGGCCTGTGGCAGGCCCAGGTTCGGATTCCTCTTCCACGTTGTTGTTGCTAACGCACAGACTATGTCCTGTAGGGCCAGGGATGCATGGGCTGTGTCCAGGAGGGCCTATAGGGCCTGGGAAGCACGGCCTGTGTCCTATAGGGCCAGGGACACACGGACTGCATCCTGTAGGAGAAACCCAAACGCAACCCAAGAGCCTGAAACCGCTGCTCCCACCACCCTGCAGGAGCAGGATAAGGCCAGGCCGAAGCACGCTTCCCAGCATGTTCTTCTCACCCTTTCCGTGGCACAAATAAGCAGCCAGGGCATGAAGTAGAGAGGACATTTCTATTAGGCACTTCCAGAGCAGCTGGGGTGGGGGGTGGGGGGAGGAATGAAAAAGGGGGGGGAAAAAAAGGCAGCTATTATGGCAAACTTATAATCAAACGTGCACAAGAAATGTTAGATATAAACACTCCCCCTTAGGACGTTGTAAAATGCTATCTGTTCAGCATGCCATTGTACAAAGTGTACATTTACAGCTTGGGTGGTAAATTATGCTAATAGAATGCACAAACCTCAACCGTGAGGTTTTGAATTTTTTGACACAGTTCACAGATCAACTTCATAGGTCAAAGGAGTTTGCCTCCCACAGGCTGATAAAGTAGCAAGATATAAAGTGTGTGTATTATTATAATCGCACTGAATGCAAGTTTTTAGATAGAATACATTTGGTATATTTTCATCTCTGCATTTGTTCGTAATGAATTTTTTTCATTGGACACTGCTCTAGGCAAGGGCAAAACACTTAGGAGACTCTTTTCATGGAAGTGTTTCAAGGTGTTAAACGTAAAAACCCAGTAATAAAAGCTTCCACAGAACATCAGTGTACACAGAAAAGAAACTACAGTAGCAATTCTTTCACCAAAGAACAACTACTCAGATGTACTTTTTCATGAGTGTTTGCAATGCAAGAAAAAAACCCGAGGCATATAAAATGACAGATCCCTTAACCAGCAGAGACTCACTGCTCAGAGAAAAATGACTTGTAGGAAGGTAAAA